AGCAGGAAACTGGAGAAATGAGAGCATCAAAAAGGAGCATGAGAGAGAAAGCCAGTGTGTGTGCTGGACTCGATTTGGTCTCGTTTACAGTTGAGGCCTGGAAATTTCCTGGAATTACAATTAAGCTCCAGGGTGTAAGCTTTCAAGAGTCAAAGCTATCTTCATCAGACATGAGGCCACAAAGAGAGCTTTAACTCTCAAACAGTTAAGCACATCAGAAGTGCCCTGCTGGGTCAGACCAGGGAGGGTCCATCTAGTCCAGCATCCTGTCTCACACAGTGGCCTCAACCAGTTCCTCTGGAGGGCCAACAACAGGGCAGAGAGGCCGAGGCCTTCTCCTGAGAAGAACACCAGAAGAGCCCTGCTGGGTCAGACCAGTGAAGGTCCATCTAGTCCAGCATCCTGTCTCACATAGTGGCCTCAACCAGTTCCTCTGGAGGGCCAACAACAGGGCAGAGAGGCCGAGGCCTGCCCCTGAGAAGGACATCAGAAGAAGAGCCCTGCTGGATCAGACCAGGAAGGGTCCATCTAGTCCAGCATCCTGTCCCAGAGTGGCCTCAACCAGTTCCTCTGGAGGGCCAGCAACAGGGCAGAGAGGCCGAGGCCTTCCCCTGAGAAGAACCTCAGAAGAGCCCTGCTGGATCAGACCAGTGAGGGTCCACCTAGCCAACCAGTTCCTCTGGAAACATGACATAGAGCCCAAGGCCTTCCTAAGAACATAAGAAGAGCCCTGCTGGAGCCGTGGGGGGGTCTATCCAGTCCAGCCGCCTGTCTCACACAGGGGCCAGCCAGTTCCTCTGGAGGGCCAGTAACAGGGCAGAGAGGCCGAGGCCTTCCCCTGAGAAGAACATCAGAAGAAGAGCCCTGCTGGATCAGACCAGGGAGGGTCCATCTAGTCCAGCATTGTACACATATTAGAAGATAATACGGATATCTATGACCATATACCGTACAAAGATCACAAATGTTTTAAAGTTTTAGAATTTTAAGGTTTTACTGTTTAAGCTCGACTTTTATCACAATTTTTTTTTTAAAAAAGAAGAAGAAGAAGAGCCCAGGTAGATCAGACCAGTGGCCCGTCTAGTCCGGCATCCCATCTCACACAGTGGCCAAACAGTTCCTTTGAGTCAGAAGGTCCACTGGTGGGGCCAGAACTCTAGAAGCCCTCCCACTCTTCCCCCCCCCAGCACCAATGGCCAATGGCCCATCCAGTTCAACACTCTGTGTCCCACAGTGCCCAAAACCCAGGGGCCACCACGAACGCCACTCGCTGGAGCCCCCCCACTCTTCCCCCCTCAAGCACCAAGAGGACAGAGCATCCCTTGCCCCAGACATAAGAACATAAGAGAAGCCATGTTGGATCCGGCCAGTAGCCCATCCAGTCCAACATTCTTGTCACACAGTGGCCAAAAATACCAGGGGCCATCAGGAGGTCCACCAGCAGGGCCCATTGCAAACTATCATCCTGCCAAGCCCATAGTCTGCTCTTACCGACACCTGCCCCCTCAACAATGTCCCATTCCAAACCTACGGCAAAGGGAGACATGGTGGCACAATAACTGACTGACCCTGGGATGAGCAAAACCTCAGTGAAGAGCACTGGCATGCGTGTGGGGAGAGATTTAATGTGCAACATGGGGGGGGTGAGTGGAAGGGGGAGCCGAGCAACGCTCCCTCTAAGCTGTGGAGTCTTGTGAGCAAAAATTCTACTTTTTGAGCTACTGGCATTAAAGTTGTGAGCAAGTGATTTGGCTTCTGCATAAAGTAGTTTGCTCTGGAGCCATCCTTCCTGAGCTAAGACAAAAATGTGTGAGCCGGAGGCTAAAAAAACTGTGAGCTAGCTCACACTAACTCAGCTTAGAGGGAACACTGGTTAGGGCCAATGGTCCTTCTAAGCTGTGGAGTCTTGTGAGCAGAAATTCTGCCTTGTGAGCTACCGGCATTAAAAGTTGTGACCGAGCGATTTGGCTACTATATAAATCAGTTTGCTCTGGGGCCCTCCTTCCTGAGCGAAGGCAAAAAATGTGTCAGCCGGAGGCTAAAAAACTGAGCTAGCTCAGACTAACTCAGCTTAGAGGGAACACTTGAACGGAGTCCTTCCCTGGCCAGTTTCCATGTTAAGTTGCTATTTTTATACCTGGCCTTTCTTATTTATTCATACTTCAGATCTATGGATCGCCCGGTCCCTGAGTTCACAGGGACTACTTTGTGAGCTACTGGCATTAAAGAGGTGAGCAGGTGATTTGGCTACTGCATAAATTAGTTTGCTCTGGAGCCCTCCTTCCTGAGCTAAGACAAAAATGTGTGAGCTGGAGGCTAAAAAAACTATGACCTAGCTCACACTAACTCAGCTTAGGGGGAACACTGCTTCTAACCCCTTGATAAAAATGCTCTTCTGAACATTTCAGTCTGGGAACCGCAAATTACGGGGGGAAGTTTACTCCCCAGACTTTAAAAATCAGTGCGGGCATTACCATTAGCTACCTTAAACTTAGAACCTGGCTCTATCTTAAGGCGTCAACCAATGAACAAACACAGTCGGAGAATGGAAAGGGAGGGGAATGGATGCAAGAATTTCTGCTGATGTTAATATAGTCACCAGAACCTGGGATCGCTGAATCCAACTGATTTGCATTACCTTCGGGACAAACAGAAAGAGACTGTTCCGCGCCCAAAGGTTTATCTGATGGAGTCCACTGGCACGGGATCATAAGGGTGGACATTTGCTTAGGTGGGTTTATACGGAGACTAGACCAGTGCTTGGAGGACGGCTCCATCGGCAGCTCTACGCCATTGCAGCTACATGAGACATCTGAGAACAGAGTTCTGCAAAGAGCAATGGGTGGCTCAACAGGTAGAGAAAGAGATACTTTTCTCCCTTTCTCACAATACAAGAACTCGTGGGCACTCCATGAAATTGCTGAGCGGTCGGGTTAGAACGGATCAAAGGAAGTCTTCTTCACCCAAAGAGTGATCAACGCATGGGATTCACTGCCACAGGAGGTGGTGGTGGCTACAAGCATGGACGGCTTCAAAAGAGAATTAGATGAGCATATGGAGCAGAGGTCCATCAGTGGCTATTAGCCACAAGGTATAGATAGGGGCTCTGGGGCAAGTGATGCTCTGTCTTCTTGGTGCTTGGGGGGGGGGGTCAACAGTGGGAGGGCCCCACTGATGGACCTCCTGATGGCACCTGGTATTTCTGGCCATTGTATGACAGAGTGTTGGACTAAATGGGCCATTGGCCTGATCCAACATTGGCTTCCCTGATGTTCTTATGGATAAACATATGGAGCAGAGATCCATCAGTGGTATAGGTATAGCCACAAGCTCTAGATAAGAACTCTCGGTCTGGGGGAAGGGATTCTTTGTTTTCTTGGTGCTGGGGGGGGGGGGTCAACAGTGGGAGGGCTTCTAATGTCCTGGTCCCACTGGTGGACCTCCTGAGGGCACCTGGTATTTTTGGCCACTGTGTGACAGAGTGTTGGACTAGATGGGCCTTTGGCCTGATCCAACATTGGCGTCTCTTATGTTCTTATGCTCACTTTATGAGCTTCCCGCAGGCATCCATGACCGTGAGGAAAGGCACCCTTCACTACCCAAAGGAGTCTCAGAGCGGCTCACAATCTCCTTTCCCTTCCCCTCCCCACACCAGTTTGGTGTCGTGGTTAAGTGCGCGGACTCTAATCTGGGAGAACTGGGTTTGATTCCCCACTCCTCCACTTGCACCTAGCTGGATGACCTTGGGCAAGCCACAGTTCTGTCAGAGCTGTCCTTGAAAAAAGAGCACTTTCTGTCAGAGCTCTCTCAGCCCCACCTACCTCACAGGGTGTCTGTTGTGGGGAGGGGAAGGGAAAGGAGTTTGTAAGCCGCTCTGAGACTCCCTTGGGTAGTGAAGGGTGGGGTATAAATCCAATCTCTTCTCTTCTAAGTGGGGCTGAGAGAGCTCTTTCAAGCACTGCTCCTGAGAGAACAGCTCTGAGAGGACTTGTGACTGACCCAGGGTCATGCCAGCAGCTACACGTGGAGTAGTGGGGAATCAAACCCGGCTCTCCCAGATTAGAGTCTGGGCTCCTAACCACTACACCAAATCTGAAACGGAACCGAAAGAAGCCTGGTAACAAAACATAAGCAATAACCTCTCAGTAGCCAGACATGTTAAGCAACACAGAAATTACGCTGCAGGACCGCACTTACAGCAACAGAAAAACACAGTAGCATAACCCACAGTCCATATCCCTCTACTGAAACATCTATCTGAGCCTTTTCATTACCGTACAGTAAAAAAAAAAGCCTTCCTGAACAGTAGAGATGAGACATATCAGGAATGAGAAATGGGAAAGAGGGTCACACGATGAAGTAAACACGATGAGGGGGGTATCAGGTCCGAGGGCATTCTAAGAACCAGACTTAAAAACACAACACAAGACCAGAACAGAACTCCCATCTGGTTGCAACAGAAGCATGTTGGGCATCCAAGGAAGCTCTAGAGATGTGAAGGCCTGGAAAAAACCCGGAAAAATTTTGGGGAAAACCCTGTTTTTTCCCTGAAGCCTTTTTTGTTTTTTTCCGAAAACTTTGTAGGTTTGCGGCTTGCAGATACACCCCTGGACGGCAGACTCAAGATTGCAACAGCACAGACATTTTGATGCAATAATTCAGAGCAAGAGGTGTCAGTTATTGGCCATTTTTAAATAAGCAGAACATTGCAAGCATGCTAATGTTTTAAACATGTTTTTATTTTAAGTTTAAAAAAACACCCTTTGTGTTTGTGTCCTTTATAAAGTGTATACAAATGAGTTTGACACCCCTGTCCTAACCACGGGACCCCCTAACCACGGGACCCCCCTAACCACGGGACCTCGACGGGACCGCGAGGGGATGCCTGATTGCACAGATTGCCCCCCCCCCCGCGATATCCGGCCCGTGTGCCCGGGGCCAATATAAAGTAAAATATTTCGTTGGTCTTAAAGGTTTATTGTAAATCCCATTTTGTTGACTATACTGACTCTCTCTGTGTAACCCGCCTTGGGTCCCTGAGAGAAAGGTGGACTCCAAATAAAATAAAGAACCAATAATGCCCCCTCTTGAAACCCTCTGAACCCCAGCAACGGGTGAACAAGATTTCCGTTTGCTTACCAGACACGCACACACAGAGAAAATACTTTTCCCTGTTTATTTTGCCACTTGATTATAAATTCCAAGATTCATTTTCCAGTGTTGCAGATCTGGCAACACTGAATTCGTATGCACAGGCTTTTTATAATAAACTGGTTCCAGAAACACAACAAAGTTTGAGTCCAGCGGCACCTTTAAGACCAATGAAGTTTAATTCTGAGTATAAGCTTTCGTGTACAGGCACCCAGAATTAAACTTTTTATTATTATTATTTATTGGATGACATCAATCGCCCCAGCTCAGCTTACGCCAGGTTCTGGGCAATGTACAAAAGACGGCATAATACCATAAAATATACAAACATTAAAATTCAATGTACATCTCAATTACAATGTAAAGCAAAATATTTCATTGGTCTTAAGGGTGCCACTGGACTCACACTTTGTTCTATTGCGGGGGTGTCGAACTCATTTGTTACGAGGGCCAGATCTGACACAAACGAGACCTTGTCTGGCCGGGCCATGTGTGTCATAAAATGTAATGTCAAGTAGCAGAGACATAAACTTTATAAAGGACAAAAGAAGAAGAAGAGGAGATTGGATTTATACCCCACCCTTCACTACCCAAGGGAGTCTCAGAGCGGCTTACAAACTTCCTTCCCTTCCCCTCCCCACAACAGACACCCTGTGAGGTAGGTGGGGCTGAGAGAGCTCTGACAGAAACTGTTCTTTCTCAAGAACAGCTCTTATCAGAAGTATGGGTTGCCCAAGGTCATCCAGCCAGGTGCAAGTGGAGGAGTGGGGAATCAAACCCGGGTCACCCAGATTAGAGTCCGCGCACTTAACCACTACACCAAACTGGCTCTCACTACAAACACAAAGATTTTTTTTTACTTAAAATAAAAACTTGCTTAAAACATTAGCCCTGTAAGCTGCAAACCTACTTATGATTTATTGACATTCACCGCAGAGAGTGAGAGAGTCTGGAGAAGCAAGCGATGATGCAGCAGCAGAAGCAGAAGATGGCCAATTCCACTGTGGGCCTGATGGAAGCCCTCCAAGGGGGAGGGCCTCATCCGGCCCCCGGGCCGCGTGTTTGACACCCCTGTTCTATTGCTCCAGACCAACACGGCAACCCACCCGAATCTGATTCCAGCAATACTGTTCCTTTTGCGACACAATACCTCCCTGACCACAGGGATTCCCGAGACTTTACTTAGAGGAGGATGCTGCCGAACGGGGCGTCAACGCAGCAGCAGTGAAGAAAGCGAAAAAACAAAGACAGAATGGTAAGAAAATTGTCTGATGCGGAAATCTATCTTTCTTCCGGCATGATTTGATTAAAGTGTCCACCAAGGTCAGACCAAGCACGAACGTTTCAACACGGAATCAAAGTCCACGTTAACAAATATTTGGTAGCCGTAAACAA